CAATTATTAACCCTTTGCGCTCCAATGTCGAGTCAAATTGACTTTTGCATTAATAGTTTATTTTCGTGATTCGCATTATATTCCTGAATAATGCCGCAATTCCGCGGTACGTAGAACCACTATAATATTTCTAGTTCTAGTTAGGTTGCAAAGTTCAAGGGATTCCTATTTCCAATCCATTTCAATTATTAACCCTTTGCGCTCCAATGTCGAGTCAAATTGACTTTTGCATTAATAGTTTATTTTCGTGATTCGCATTATATTCCTGAATAATGCCGCAATTCCGCGGTACGTAGAACCACTATAATATTTCTAGTTCTAGTTAGGTTGCAAAGTTGCATACGGAAGTATGCTTGGATTGCGTTATAGCAAATTCTGAAATAAAAGAAAGAAAATACTTTGGAACGCAAAGGGTTAAGGAAAGAAAGGAGTGCTTATGTACCTCCTGCATCTTGCAGTTAGTGCAGACAATTTTCATTTTACATAAGAATCCGCAATTTAGTGACAGGTGTCGTAACATTCTTGGTGTCTGGATTGTGTCTGTTGATAACGTAAACAATAACAAAACAAACGTTGCACATAAATGACGAATCCAAAGTAAAATGAAGCCGAATGAAACGAAGAAATGAAATAAAGGTGTGCACGTGAAACGTCATGACGTACGTAGCATAGGATACCAGAACTGAGTTCAATAGTTACATGTAATCTTCCATTACCATAAGACTTCGTTTCGTCGCCATGTCAAAGAATTTGTCGTCAGTCAACACGTTAAAACGGTTCACTTTTTTCCACCGGACGCATCATTCGACTTCGCTAAAATGTTTCGCGCTCACCTTGAGATATTCGCGCCAACGAGTTGCATAGAACGTTGAAGCCATAAATGCCAACTAGAGTAAAGTTGACCGTCGCGGCATGGCGTGGTGAATCTTACTCGTGCTTCTGCAACTTAGGTTGGGGCGTCAAGGACGCTCAAGGTTCCCCTCTCGGTGAACAGTGCTCGTAATTATCAAGTACAGTATCTCTGCTCGCTTACTTTCTTCTCTTCGGCCGTCGAACTTTCGATCGCTTCGCCTAATTCTTTGTGTTTCGTTTTACGATACAAAGGACAGGGCCGCTAGTACGCACTCTCAACGCTGCTCGGCTTTGTACCATATAAGTGACGTGAGAGACAAAGAGTTTGTTACCAGTTGAGCCCTGCTCACCGCCAGAAGGAGTCATTTGCCGTGGTACATCGTAAATAGGGAAAGTACAGTAACATCTCTAAACTTGTATGTAACAACGTAGCGACAGGTTTGGGAGATCCACGTCGAATCGCTATACCGAGCGTGTTCTTGCGGGAACACTGCGCAGGAGAAGCATCGGTCTTTCTTTACGAAGCTGAGAGTACCATACATGAAATTGTCCATGTCGAACAAAAGGATTCGCTGGATTTGAGCTGGCTCGAATCGGAGATTATGCTATGAACCTTGTACATTTCCACCGGAAAATCACTTCACGCTTTTGATTCGTATGCATTTTAGCAAAAAAAATATTAGCTTGTAACACCGGTGATAGTAAAATGTGAAAAGAATTGAAAATTTCAACGTGTCTTTGCGACAAGATTGTGTTTTCATGGTCAGTTTTGATCGGGAAAGATTTCGGTTAATAGGGATCGAACGAAAGATACAAGAATTCGACACTTGTACAAGGTTGGCGGTGTTGCTGTGCATCGGATAGAACGGATATAGCGTGCTTGTAAAATCAATTAGAAGATTCGAAGCATTGCAAATGCGTGTCAAGTGGCCCGACGCTAAGTGCCTCAACTTTTAATTAATTTCGGTGTTACACTTTCTTACGAGATTGTGGCAAAAGGTCAGCAGGTTCTAAACGAACTGGCATCGATTGCAACGATCGTTTCTCGTCATCTCGTGGTACCGGTACCAGAAGGCGTTGTATCATCGGTTTGTCCCGCGAACGAAGCATTCGATTTACAATCACGCTATGTCTTTTTCACCTCGAATAAATAGTTACTGGTTAGTGTTTAGTCTAAACTGAAAAGTGTTTAATAGTAACTGGAAAATACATGTGTTGTTTTGTTTCTTGTCCATGATAGGGACAATGACTTAACGCCTATCGAGGGTGGTCAGCTTTCCAACAACAAAGTGTGCTCAGGACACTCTAGTAACCGTTGTGCAAATAATAGTAATAATAATAATGGTAACAATAAGAATAACGTGGGTGGCCCGCTGATGCCCGTGACACATCTGAACGGTCAAGTGAGTGGTATCAGTAGCCGGGGGTTGGCGGGTACATCGTCGCACAGTGCCGCGACTTCGTCGAACTCGATAGTATTTAACGCGGCTGAGTCTTGTAACAACCCCCTGCCGTCGTTAAGTACCAGTAACTCGTTCAACCACTTTTTGGAGAAAATGGACTTGGAATTCGAGCTATTCCGCAGTTCCCCATGGGACTTGGATAGCAGCAGCGGGTGGGCAGATAGGCCCGAATCGAGAGCGAGCGGGCCACCAAACTCACGACCATCTTCCCAGCCAGCCCCGACATCTCCGAGTCCCCAAGGAACGTTCTCCTCTAATTCGGCGGTGGCGCCTCACTGCAGTCCCCTACGCGCGTTCAGCCCGACCTCAGGCAACGCGGCTCACACCTTCAGTAATTCGTTCCCCTTCAGTCCGCTTCAGGAATCACAGACGTCCTCCTTGACGAACAGCGCAGCTAGTAGCGTTAGCGCCAACGGGGCCGCCGGATTGACGCCGAAGAGACAGGATGAAGGGAAAACCGGATGCTCGACGACCAATCAATCCGCCATGGAGGCAGCCAACGCGAGAAACAACGCGACCTCCGTGGCCGGGACCGCCACGGCCGGCGGCCAGTCTAGTGCCGCATCCGCGACTATCGAAACTCAGAACAGTGTTGTGACCACCGGGTCCGGTAGACTAAGAAACTTGTTGACCAAGGGGGCTAGTGGTAGTGAAGACAGTCAGGACAATACGAATAACGATTCCAACAGCCGAAACAAGCACCCGATATTGTCGGTCCTGTTGGACCAACAAGACGAGGACGATTTCCATCCGGAGCATAATAATAAAGTGCGCACGAGTCCTAGCAACGTTCCGAAACCGAGCATGGAACATTCGAAATCTACGCTTGGAAATAATATGCTGTTACAGGTAAACAGACCGATCTTTGCAAGATCTAGCGATGGTATCGGGCCGGTACCCTAACTGATCTTGCAATTTGACGTTTCTCTTTTCGATTTTTCAACTTTTCCAACGATCGATCGAAACGCGATCCTTCCTGTCGGTTGTCTTTGGCTCGGTTAGCATTTATCACCGAAATGGTTCTCTTTTCTGTAGCACCGTCGGTGCTCGGGATACTCTGGTCACGCATCCAGCAATTGGACGGAAGGAGAACGTTTCGGTTGTTGTTGTTCATTTCTTTTTTTCGTTCAATAGCATTGTGATCGTATATTACGCCGCCCAAGACTGTTGTAATGTATTCTAATCGGTTTTCCATACCTAATCTTTTAAAGTTATTGAAAACTGACGACGAAGACGAAGAATCTTCTCATCACGCCGGTGTGAAGAAGAAAAACGAACTTCTGCATAAACTCCTGAATGATCAGGACGACGAGAGGAAAGTGCAGGAGCAGCAGGTATTTGTTCGTTCGATCATGAGAGTTCGTTAAACGTTTCAACATTGAAGTATCAATGATTGAAAGTTACAGCCCTTTTTCAAAAGAAGACACCCGCAGCATGCTCGTTATGATCAGACTGTGGATATTTATGTAAAATTGTCTAAATGAATTGTAAGAAACATAGGGTGGACAAGAATGTCCTTCCTATTTTAATCATTGTAATAAGTTGGAAGTAATGTGGCACTATATCCTTAAATTATTCTAATGCTTCTAATCTCATTTTTGTCGAAAATGCATTAAATCCACACTCGAATTATTATGGCTAGGAGCGTATTTCAGATGTGTCCTTTTGAAAAATGGTCTATAGTATTAACGAGATACAATAAATGTATGGTTGTCGAATAGTGTAAACCACAAACTCGGGAGGAAGATAAGCTCTTGCATAGTCTTGGATTTCGGAACACCACGCCATCCCCGTCTCAGTCAGGCGACAACGTCAGACTCGGTGGTTCGAGTCAGGTCGGACAAAAGAGACCAGGTGATGACGGTGATTTAAACATAGCTGTGAAACGACCCATGGACGGTTCGCACCAAGTATCATCCTCTGGTACACCTACGAATGCGACGAGCAAGTTATGGGAGAAAAACAAGATGTTAGCCAGGTTGCTAGCACAGCAGCCTCCACAAGCAACCACCATCCCACCTATACCTGCGTCTGTGATATCGGCAACGCCACAGGTATTAACCGAAAGTTTAATTATTTTGTTTCAGCTGTCTAAACGCTGTGAATCGCAACCGTTAGGAAAAGTCATATTTCCTTCTCATATTTATATATTATATTAATTATATTTTACTAATTTTAATAAAAATATATGAAATATATATATAGATATACGGGATGTCTAATTTGAGGTAATTATAATCGGTTTCAAAAAATGTGTCAAATACATCCTATAGTGGCGGCAAATTTTTGCTGAGTGGACTGGTTTGCTGAGTTTGTCGTTTCCTGTGTAACAATGACACGGATTCGCACTAAAAAAGATGAACTTTAAGCAGCATTGAATGACCTTGAAAGACCAAAGTATTTAGGTCAGTGAATTGACCTTTAAATACACTATCTGCTTACATAAAAATAAATATACAGTTCTATTAAAAAAAAGGAAACAAAGGAATCTTGGAAGTACGTAAACTCAAAAAAAAATTTTGACCATTATAGGATGTCCCGCTCGAAACTGGGTGAGATTCATTTTAAACATTTTTTGAAACGAACTATAGTTTAGGAGATAATTGAGTACGTTACTTCAATTGTGACAATCCGTACAGATATTCATATATTATTATCAATTAATGTCACTTCTTACTGGGGGTCCATGAGCACCCCACGTTTTATTTCAGAAGTTCGCGTGGAAATTGAAATTGACTGATCGATACACATGTTACTAGATGTAATGTAATGTGATCTATAGCGTTATAAATAACGCAATACACATATATATGCGTAAACGTCCTATTTGTTTGTTATATAGGATAAACTGGTCCGTATAAAACAGCAACCACCGCAGCCGACACAGCCACAACCTCAACAACAACAACAAGCGCAACAGCAACAACAGCAACCATGGACTGGTGGCAGCATGCAGTCGGTTGGTGGTAACAACACAATTACGACAACCGCAACATCCGCGCGGACTCCTCTCCAAAGCCAGTCAAGACAACTACCTCGTCCAACAACCAATACCTACCTCAATCATATGCTAAGTCAGGTAGTAATTGTCTTATCTTAACATCAATCACACACACACACACATCACTTAACAACGATCATGGAATTAAACAAATTTGTTTACATAGTTTTGCAGACGTAATAAAACGATGCAACTTTCGTTTTAACATGGTTGTATTAGGCAGAAGTTATACTACTTGCGTGCAAAATCTCATAGTCTTTGGATTTTACGGGTTGACAAACCTTCCTTGTCAGTGGATAAGTTGGAAACAGCCCTCCTTGTATTCTTAAAAAGATCATATAAAGATAAGATAGTGGTTTTATGATTTCAAGATATCATAATATGTCATTAACTTGCAATTAAAGATTCAGCGTTAACGTACATGAAAATCACTTGGTGACTTGTTTATGTGACAATTTACAAATGTAATTTTACTGGAACTTTCACGAATCTAAATTAACAAATTCTGATTCTCGATTACAGCAACAAAGACCTCAAATAGGTCAGATGGATTCGGAATTTACAGGCAGCGGAGAGCATCATCAAACAAATACTGATCCAAGTGGTTGGGATAACCAGTCGTCAGATCCTGACCTTTCCGATATTTTGGATCAAGTTATTGAGTTCGTGCCGGATGAAGCTATTACAGGTATACAGTATACTTTGAGCATAAATCGATCAATCATACATGTTTTTTTTTTCATTTTAAATCCAATGCCCAACAATCATGTTACTGAAATATAATTCTCTACTTTCATTTTCACGGTACAAATCTTCAGAGTTTTCATAGTACAACACAATCTGTTAAATCTTTCTTAAATGATACATTAATATTACTCTATCATAATTAGCGCAAAATATTATACGTGGCAGCAGAAGTAGCATTTTCATGCCCATAATCACTTTTATTCGTTAGATTCGTCTGCGATAGCAAATCTCCTAGATGTAATCGAAACACCACAAAACAACGTATTGAATGAAAAAATGGCGATTAGCGCGATTCAGAAGTCGTTGATGTTATGTGAGACTGCCGTAAATCCAACGTCTTCCACCATAACAATTCCTGGCACGCCTCCAGCTTACTCAACTGCGGTAAGTTTTTTATTGCTTATACATTTACAAAATGTTCACATACGTGTTACAAATGCTCATCAATTTTGTATCATTAGTCGCGTTGGTACTTGTAACTCATTTATTCTTGTATGTGTACCTAACTTTTCATAGTCTTCCTTTATAGAAATTACAATTTATTGTTTGAGATAACATCAAATTTAAATGATCCTAATGAGGTGGATAACTATTACGCTGCACAGTAGGATACGTTATATCTCTCCTTTTAAGAAACGGGATATTTATGATTAATATAATTTCAGTTAACTACACCAGTAACGACGAGCCATAGTTATCAACCTCCGCCTATGTATCAGCAGCAGACTAGGATGAGGAACACCACGCAGCTAGTCAGGCAAAACACCGCTCAATTTACACAACAACAGCAATTACAACTGCATCAGCAACGGGCAAAAATAATGCAACAGCAGCAGCAACAGCAGCAATTAAAACAGAGGTTGTTGCAGCAACAGCAACAGCAACAGTTACTTATTCCTTCCAACGCTACAGCTACGGACCAAATTACAACCGGCATTCAGAACATTGATAATCTTCTAAATAATACTGTTGCGCCAAACGTATCGTTACAGGTAATTATAATTATGTTATATTTAGTCATATAAATTTTTTAATGCTTATGGTTTACTTTTAATGACCACTTATAAAGTCGTTAAAATTTTCTAAACATTAAGATAAGAGATATATTATATTGTTCTATGAGCAATTCATTTTCCACTTACAATGTTTAATAATGATTATTTTTTACTAGAATTCCAAACTCGATTTCATATCCGTTTCAAATATGCACACAAATATTATTGAGCGTCAGTGCAAAATTTCAACAAATAACATTTCTCATTTGATCCTGATGACTCTTTAATAGACTGTGGATCTTCATGCAAAATAAAAATGTGTTGCTTCGATTCAATTAAATCTGATTTTAATCCTTTTCACAAGTTAAAAATGGTATCTTGAGATTATTTAATCATTAAAACTTTTGCCCTGCTTTAAACTGTATTTACTTACTTTTGGTATGAATACGTGAAATCCGCAGTCTGCTCATTAAATATTTAAAATGTGCTTACATGATGTTAATAAATTATCTGTTTTCAGCGATCGAGTGTTCCAGATTCGCAAGTTTCTCCAGGTTATGGGGGATCCGTCCAAATGCCTTCCTCCGGTCATCGACTCGCACATTCGTACTCCCATCCGTCTACGTTACCACAACAGTAAGCAGCCTGAACTAGTGCTATTAATCGCCACATTGGTTACGTAACCGAAGCACTTTTATTTCTAGCCCCATTGTAAACAATAATTTCAACAGTGGGCAACAAGTGTCCGCTGCAGCACGACTCTCGCCGCATTCTCCTGCTGGTATTCTGTCATTCTCCCATCCGCAGCCGTTGTCACCACGTGTGACGCAAGTACGTTTTAAGAGTCGTTTAATTATACAAAGTGTCCCAGATGCCTGTGTCACGTAGCTTCAATTCTTATTTTGAAGGTTTATTTTCGTTTAAATAAATCTGAACAGCGCACGTGTAGCTCTTACAATAATTTTAATTTCTTTCTAACACTTTGACGACCACATTAAATTAATTTGATATCATACAGACCTTGTGTTACGCGTTCAGTGTGTTGTGTGTATTGATATTTTTGAAGATAACACCCCCAACATCCTTACATGTTTTATTTATACGACACTCGTTACAGTATACAGAACTCAATCGAACAGAATCGGAATTATTTCAATCTATCTCTGAGCAATACATGCTTTATATTTTCTAAAACGTTTATGAATTTAGTATAAACAGCGATGCTCTGAGATTCATAACAAATATTCACATTTACAACACTAACGACGTAGCACTCTTCATCGTATTAATATTTACAGCCGTCAAAGTGTTAATACCACGAACATCGTTTAAATTACATTTATCTAGAGAGACGAGAATGCTTAATTTTTTTACGTTTTTTTTTTTATCATAAGGGCAACTATGGTAATACCCCGAGACTGTTCAACGTTAATCAGGTGAGAACGCAGCAACAACCTACCACGCAGCAGCAGTTGCAGCAACAACAGAGATCGATGTCTTCGCCAGGAACTCCAGCATCCGCTCGGCAGTCTCCATTTCCGGCGGAGACCTTTCCCCCACCTACTTCTCCCACAGCTAGCCAATTTCCCCCTGGTCCTAATCCTGGTGCACCAAATCCTTCTGCCCAATACCGGTTACAAAGGACGACGTCCACACCTTCGGCTACGACTCAGTTGCCAGGTAGGTTAATATTGTATTTACAATTCTAATAACAATTCTAGAATAATGTATTGTGGGGGATGTTGTGAATTATACGTAAGGTGTCCATAAAGTTCTGAAATGTTTGAAGCATCAGAAAGCTGTATGGAATTTGCTCATAGACTAACGAAATGTTAACATTTTATATAGTGTTTCTTAATAATTCTCATAGCTTTTACAAATTTATAATAATTATTTAAATACGCATAAACTACTGTGAATGTACAATTATATCATTCTAAGTAAAAGTCGCCGTTTTTTATTATTAAAGTGTTATCGTTGGTTAGAAGCAATGTCTTAGTGAACTATGAAATTGAATAATCTGCAGAACACTTCATCTTACCAGCATTATTTTAGAAAAACATAAGAATTTTACGGACACTCGGTACGTCGTACCAGCGACTAACTTTATAGGATTCTACTTCAATCTGATATATTGTGATATCATTTTTTTTTTGTGAACTTATATTGTCAGTAATTGTGAATTGTATATTTAGGAAAGGATGATGTAGGTGACTCCAGTCATACAATAGTGTTGACCATTTTTTAACGTGTGATTCTGTGTATGGTTATGTATTAACAAAAACAGATTGAACTTCTTAGTATTAGATATTTTTCAATGCGCAATTGGATCGAAATATTCGTAAACCTTTGTATTTTATATTTTATACAAAACGATTGAAAATTCGAGAATATGGTGACCGCGTTGTTATTTCGTTCATCACCTCGGTGCCACTAAAAAATATTCATAGTACATATTGGTGCGGATAACTTTAAGCGTTCACACGAATATAAAATATACGACACATAGATGCGTCGGAAGACATGTGAATTTTAAAATGTAAATGTATTTGTTTAAAGTAGGTAAGTACACAATCGATTAAAATATATATTTCTATTTTATTCGGTATTGCAAAATAGTGAAACTACATTTCTAGATTAGACGAATTATAGATGTTGTTGATCGTTTTTTATTCTTCTATTTTTGCTATGATTGTGATAAAAAAAAAAAATTAATTGTGAAAATACTCAATCAATTGAATAATTTGTTAACAAATATTTCTGTTAAGAATCAGAG